AATTCAATAAATGCTACCTTGCTAACTTGGTAACCTTGGAGTTTTATGCATGTCTGTGGCAACTGTCATTAAAGGGTTAGTTCACCCAAAAATTAAAATTAAGTCATTAATTACTCACCCCCATGCTGTACCAACCCCGTAAGACCTTCGTTCATCTTCGGAACACAAATAAAGATATTTTTGATTGAATCTGAGGGCTGGATCACTCTTCCATAGACAGCCTGAGGGACTGCCTCTTGACGGCCCAGAAAGTCATTAAAAGAAAAGGTTTAAATATTCCATGTGCCTACAGTGGCTCAACTATAACTTTATCAAGCGACGAGACTACTTTTTGTGCGAAAAAAAAAACGTAAATAACGACTTTATTCGACTTTCCATTACTTCCTTATGGCGCATGCGCGAGAACTGAGACGAGACCGTTCTTCTTCGACTACTTTTTGTTACCGGCTGCTCACCGCTTAGGAGTTTTTACCGCCCCCTACCGTATAAGATGACGTACTGCTTGTAAACAGAACGTTTTGCGCCTCCGGCTATATCAGTACGTCATCTTATACGGTAGGGGGCGGTAAAACTCCTAAGCGGTGAGCAGCCGGTAACAAAAAGTAGTCGAAGAAGAACGGTCTCGTCTCAGTTCTCGCGCATGCGCCCATAAGGAAGTAATGGAAAGTCGAATAAAGTCGTTATTTACGTTTTTTTTTTCGCACAAAAAGTAATCTCGTCGCTTGATAAAGTTATAGTTGAGCCACTGTAGGCACATGGAATATTTAAACCTTTTCTTTTAATGACTTTCTGGGCCGTCAAGAGGCAGTCCCTCAGGCTGTCTATGGAAGAGTGATCCAGCTCTCAGATTCAATCAAAAATATCTTTATTTGTGTTCCGAAGATGAACGAAGGTCTTACGTGGGTTGGTACAGCATGGGGGTGAGTAATTAATGACTTAATTTTCATTTTTGGGTGAACTAACCCTTCAAGTGTCATTCGCTCAATTATGAAATTTTTAATGCAAATATGACATTGTTTGAGATGTCTTTGTTATGACACCTTGACATAAACCAATACATCATAACCTGTCATAATCATGACACAGCAGATTAATTATCAAACTTGAGAAACCCCCATAGCTTTATTGGTTAACATTACATTACACTGTCAGCTGGTTGGTTTTAAAATTGGCTGTCATGAAACCATTATAACTTTTTACTGACAAATTCAATTTGTACAACTGTAGTTGAGGTCACGAAAAATATTCAAGAAGAGTTATAATGCCTCATGACAGCCAATGTCAAAGCCAACCACATGACAGTTTAATGTAATGTTAACCAATAAGTGGGAGAACACTGACAAATTTGAAACTCTTCGTAAATAACTTCATAAACTTCGTAAATAAAATGTTGAAGTTCTGAAGAAGGAAATCTAAAAAAAAACCAATGTTTGCAGATATTTTTTTATATATTTTGCAAGCTTGCAAATCTTATTTTTCGATCTTGCAAAACTTTTTTTGCAAGATTTTGTAGTTTTGAACATTTAGTTTCAACCTTTCGGAACTTTATTTTCAGTTTTGAATCATGGCAGGATTTTAATCCCATAGGTGCTTTCTTAAATTCGATAATCTGCTATGTCATGTTTATGACAGGTTGTGTTGTCTTAATTTAATGTCATGTATTAATGTATTGGTTTATGTCAAGGTGTCATGATAAACATCTCAAACAATGTCATCATATTTGCATTAAAAATGTCATAACTGAGCGAATGACACTTAATGACAGTTGTCATAAACATGCATAAAACCACCTTCATATTCAGGATGTGTCATGTCATGATTATGCACACCCCTTCAAGTAAAAGTGTTACCCACAATGCTTTGATAGCATTAGCATAGCACTTGCTGAATGAATACAACAATACACTCTTAGAAGAAAAGGTTATATAGAGCCTTAAAAGGTTCTATCAGCGCTACATATTTGGAACCCCTAAAAGGTTCTATACACTCTTAAAAAAGGGTTCCTCTGGGTTCTATAGACCATTTCACAAGATGTAAACAACACTGGTCCAGAAGCACTTCCTGTTTCAGTTTGTAACTGTTTTCTTTATTTGACATGTAAAGAAAACACCTTAAAGATGTTTGTTTAACTTTTTGATTCAGTTTTAAATGTTCTGTTGGTTGTATTTTATCCCAGCTTTTATGTAGTGTTAAAAAACTGAAACAGGAAGTGCTTCTGGACCAGTGTTGTTTACATCATATATAGAACCTTAAAAGGTTCTATCAGCGCTACATATTTGGAACCCCTAAAATGTTCTATACACTCTTTAAAAAAGGGTTTCTCTGGGTTCTATATAGAACCCTGGGGTTCCATACTTGGCCAATAGAACCTTTTACCAAAAAAATGGTTCTATATAGACCATTCCATTCTAAAAAAAAGGTTCTATATAACCATTTTTGGTTCTAAATAGAACCATTTCTTCTAAGAGTGTAGAAAACATTTAACAAACACTGTTCTCAAACCAAGCTCAAGCTGAACTCGTCACCATGATGGACACCCAACATAACAGAAACCCTTCTAAACTAACATAAAAAAACATTAAACACTACTAAATCTCACACTTAACATTAATCTGGCACAAAAAAACAACAACATTATTTTAGCATTCATTGCCAAGCATGCTGGGAAATAGAAATCCCAGCCCAGTTTCGGTTAAATTTAAGTTTCAAAACAATGAAATAATTCAACTTACTTAAAATGTGTCAGTTTTGTGAACTCAAAAAAAAAGAAAGTTACTCATAAGAACTACTCAATTACTCAAACTAATTAATTAATTTGAGCGTTCACGGTGCAACAAACACACACAGATTGGAAAACACTGATTCAGTCGTATGGAATCTTCTTTTTAATGCATGTAATCGAAAAGCTTTCAGTTTTCTCATTACAAAGCGTGAAGATGCACAGAAACAGCCGTTGGATCAGCCAAAGACTGAAGTCCCTCTGAAACTGAACATTTAAGTGTTAACGTTGGACAAGAGCGCAATGAAGAAACACTTATATAATCAATGACTTGCACAAAGATCGGATCTACATTCATCAAGGCGGACGCTGGTTTGGCTGACGGTACACATGTATAATAATAACCCTGATGACATTTACAATCGGGTCCCGGACTGGACATGTGTATATCCACGCCGCCCTCTGCTGGACAACCCCTGAAGTGTCACATCTCAGCGGCGGTGGGAAACCTCCAAACCAGAGGACATGTCTAATATCGTTAAAGGGTTTGTTGACATTCTTCTCCATTATTAAGCAAACATTGCATGAGTACCAGCTTTTTATGTGCTCTTAAAGGGACAGTCCACCCAAAAATATAAATTCTGTTGTTATTCCAAACCTGTATGAGTTTCTTTCTTCTGTTGAGCACATGGGTAAACAAACAGTTTTTTCTCCATACTATGGCTAGGATCAACTGTTTGGTTGCCCATACTCTTTAAGAAAATGCACATTTCGAAGTTAAATGGTTGTAATTCAAGAATGCTTTGGAATATAGACGTAAGATTGGTCTCGTTTTAAAGAAGACATTTGGCAGATTTTTGCAAAAGTGAAATAAATTAAGAATGTGAAACAGAAAAAAAGTTATAGAAGTTTGAGTTCATGAAAATATAAAATATAAAAAAAATTATTATTCATATTTTATATAAAATATATATTTTCAAAACCTGGGTGACTCTAAAACTGCAAAAAAAAAAAAAAATCAAAGCTAAAAATCTGAATAAGTTGTGTTTCAAATTTTAGGTTGATATCTCAAAAAATGAGCTTTCAGTGAGATTTTGTTTGGGCGCAGTACCAAACTTTTTCACTAGGGCACAACCAGACTCCATTACTGCATTTCCATATGAAATAATAATAATTATAAAATAATTGAATGGAGGCTTTCTTTTAAACTCTTGGCATGAAAACAAACAGGTTTCGACCCTTCTTTCATAATTTTTCATGTTCATCACAATTTCAAAATAAAGGTCTAAACACGCCTTAGAGCATGAAAATATTCTTGTTGCAAATTGATAAATTACGGCTCCTCTGTAATATATTTTGAAAATCAATCACCAAAAACCAAAACTAGAGATTCTAAGCTTTCAAATGATATATAGTTTGTCAAGATTAGTTTAGGTTTAGTATAGGATAATACTGTTTTAAAAATGTAATAGATTTAAGCCCGTGACACTAAAGGGGTTAAACTATTTTCACACTCATAATGGACATTAGAGTAAGTAAATGATGACTGAATCTTTATTTTTTGGGTGAACTGGCCCTTTAAGAGCAACATAAACCTCTACGCATTGCAGTCATAAACATCATAAAAAAAACGAAGATACTATATTGTAAACAAACATACAAAGAAATAAATAAATTGACAGTTTTGAGGAATTTGAGCTGCTACAATTGTCAAGCAAAACAAAGGTCCCCGTTTACACGTTTGACGATCCGTCCGGATGTGCGATCGAGTTTAACGAAGTCACTAATGTTTCCACATCCAAGTCAGTTTGTCAAATGGACCCTTCCATTATTATTTGATTGTTTTACACAAGTTCTCAGTTCAACGGTGATATCTGACGGACTGAGGGATATTTCACACACTGCGGAGTGGCTTCGGACACACACATTCTGAAGGAATATCTTCATTGCTTCGCAACTTGGATTTCACCTCAAAAACGATTGATATTTACAAAAGTCATGCGCCAATGGTGATATTCCACAATGATATGGAGATTAAAGGAGTCACTCGCAGGCTTTAAAGGGAAATCCTCTGTGAGACGCGGCCGCCTGATTGTGTGTTAAACGCACGCGACGATGCGACGGAACGCTGGACGTTCCAAGTTCCGTTTTAGAATGTCAGGAAAAAAGAATGCAGTCCATCGCTGGAGGAAGACGAGGGAATCCGTGTCATCGCAAAACAGTTAAAAACAGTCTCTCAAACTGTAACCAGACAGTGTGTGTTTGTTTTTTTGTGAAGTGAATGTGCGCTGTGGAAAACATCCAGCCTTGGTTTGGTTCAAACCAGTGAGGTCACTTAGAAAATCTGTTCTGCCCTCTAGTGGACTGAAGACGATCTGCAGGGGAAAATCCACTTGATGGAATGAGCTCAGGGTCAAAGGTCAGATTCATCCGAGCAGAAATAACTCCACAGAGCCAAAAAATTTATTTTTTTGTCAAAAAAATTAAATAAAAGGGTGATTCTTCTTTAAAAAGAAACTCTTTTTAATCTTCTTTGTCCCAAAATCTCTCTCTCAAAAAAAAAAAATCTATACAAGTGGGAATTGTTTCCAGGCCAGGAAGTCCTGAACTTGGTTTCTGGGACTAGTAATTATCGTTTAGTAAAAGTACATTGCTTTGTCAAGTACATTCGCTTCATATATGATGTGTGTGTGTCAGCAGAAACCTTGGTCTTCTTGGAAGTGTGTCCTCTGCAGGACCTTGATGTGTCGTTCGTAGATCTTGAGGGCGGGGCCGAGTCTGATTGACAGGCCCGTCAGCACATCATTCCTCTGCATCAGAAGGAGGGACTTCCCATCAATCTCCTGTCAGAAACACACATTTCACACACATATTTCACACTAAAATACAGACGGGTTGTTTTATTTTATTACTGTTTGGACGGACAGTCTGCTAATACTGTTAGTTGACGTGTAGCTGCAAATTTAGTTATAGTTAGTAGAACGTCTAAAGAGGATTATCGAAATAAAGTGTTACCAAATAAATGTCGTATTTATTATTTAATTGTTTAAATGTGGCGTTTTGAAAAAGGAAGGTTTGAAATGGTTTTCTGATGATGTACATGATCAGAGAGCGGGTGAATTATATGTATATTATTTAGCTGACCTGCGTCCTGAAGGCGAGCGCCTGCTCCGGGAAGCCAGCGGCCGTGAAGTAACTCGCCACGTCTGCCACGCTCCAGTCCACCGGACTCAAACCCCCGGCCTCCAGCTTCACCAAACCGGCTCTGAGACCACACACAGCACACACCGCATCCACATCAACACGTGTGTCATGAATATCACAACAGCTGGTGAGCTGGAGTTTTACACACTATTCTTCTTTTCTTTCGTGTTTCCTAACAAAGCCTTTCCTCTCCGCTCCTGCCTCAGTGTCTCTCAGTGTTTCACTCACATTCCTTCATTCATCCCTCGTTCTTCAGCGGCTCCTGGCGAGGCGGACGGGGTCAGCAGACACGACGACACGCCCACCTCCAGCTTAAAGCCTGAACACACACACACACAGAGACAGGTGTCGGAAACCACAATACACACACACACACACAGACAGGTGTCGGAAACCACAATACACACACACACACACACACACACAGATGTCGGAAACTACAATACAGACACAATAACAACACATGAACACACACACACCCACATGTAGGAAACCACAATACACACAGTAACAACACAGAATAACACACACACACACCCCCACATGTTTGAAATGAAAATACACACAACACAACAACACAAACACACAGCTGTAGGAAACCCCAATACACACACAATAACAACACATAAACACACACCCACATGTAGGAAACCACAATACACACACAATAACAACACATAAATACACACCCACATGTAGGAAACCACAATACACACACAATAACAACACATAAATACACACACATATGTAGGAAACCCCAATAAACACACAATAAGTACACAAAAACACACACACATGTAGGAAACCACAATACACACACAATAAGAACACATAAACACACAGACACACACACACACACACGTAGGAAACCACAATACATACACAATAACAACACATAAACACACGCAAATATGTAGGAAACCCCAATAAACACACAATAAGTACACACACACCCACACCCACATGTAGGAAACCACAATACACACACAATAACAACACATAAACAACACACACAAACACATATGTAGGAACCCCCAATACACACACACACACACACACACACACACACACACACACACACACACACACACACACACACACACACACACACACACACACAATAACAACAAATAAACACACACATACATATTGTGTGCATTGTGGTTTCCTACATGTGTGTGTGTGTGTGTGTGTGTTTATGTGTTGTTGTTATTGTGTGTGTGTATTGTGGTTTCCTACATTTGTGTGTTGTTATTGTGTGTGGTGTGTGTGTGTGTGTTCATGTGTTGTTTTTGTGTGTGTATTGGGGTTTCCTACATTTGTGTGTTGTTATTGTGTGTGTGTTCATGTGTTGTTATTGTGTGTGTATTGGGGTTTCCTACATAACACATGAACACACATGCATATTTGGGAAACCACAATACACACACAATAAGAACACATAAACACACACACGTAGGAAACCACAATACATACACAATAATAATAACAACAACAATACATAAACACATAAACACAAACACACAAAGCTGTTTCGAAACAAAAACACACAGAATAACACACACACACAAATACAAGTACACGGAGAATAGCACAACTATTTTGAAGAAAAAAAATGCACACAGAATAAAAACACACAACTGTATGAAAACAGACCAGTAGCACATTAAACAACACTAACAAACAATCATATGAAAGAAAAACAGAATAATAACAATTTGAAAAGTTTGGGGTGGATCATTTTTTAAGTCTCTTAAACACAGTAAAAACAGTAATATTGTTAGTTTAATATTATAAGTGTTTTCTATGTAGTTTATTCCAGTGGTCAAAGCTGAGTTTTCTCTTCTCCGGTGTCACATGATCCTCCAGAAATCACTCTAATGTGTCCAAACATTTCTGATTATGAACACACTCGTGTGCTTGTGGAAACCCGATGCGTGTTGAAATATAAATCTTTTGTAACTTTATCACTTTCAGCAATTATAATGCATAACCTTACTGAAAAAAGTATTAATTTACTTGATAAAATCTACATGTAAAAACCAAATCTACATAAAATATAACGACACACAACACACAATGACATCACACAACTATATTAAAAAAAAAAAACACAACAGAATAACAAAAGACACACAGTTATATCAATAAACACTCAAACATGCAGAGGGACATGGCACAAAGTTATTAAAACACACACACACACACACACTGTTCACATCTGGGATTGAGATGTGTTTCGGTTGATCGGATCTCAAGTGGACGACACTAAACAGGAGTAAACGGCGAATGGCAAGCCGTTTTAGCTTTTATTCATTTCCAGGATATTGTAAAAAAAATAAAAAATAAAAAATATATAAAAAAAACATAACAAAAATGTAATTGTTGATATCTGTAATTGTATTTTCACTAGTGAAGGCTGCCATTCAAAATGAATTGTTGATATCAAGAAATGATTTTTTACTAGTAGAAATATAATTTTTGATATCATTAATTACGTTGTTACTAGTAAAAATGAGAATTCCTGATATCAATAATTAAATTGTCACTAGTTGAAATGTCTATTCTTGATATCAACAATTCAATTACTAGTAAAAATGATAATTTTTGATATTTGAAAATGTATTTCTGATATATTTAAAATAGCTTTCTTACTAGTAACAATCACATTCATGAAATTAGAAATTAAAATTGTCACTAGTAAAAATTTAATTTATTAATATCAAAAATGAACATTGTTATTAGTAGCAATTTAATTGTGGATATCAAGAATAGACATTTCAACTAGTAAAAATTAAATTCTTGATCTCAAAAATAAAGGTTTTTACTAGTAATAATTGTATTTCTGAAATGTGAAATTGGAATTTCAACTATTCTTGATATCAACAATGAGTTTTGAATGGCAGCCTATGGGGACATTTCACTAGTGAAAATACAATTGTTGATATCAAGAATGCATATCCTGGAAATGAATAAAAGCTAAAACGGCTTTCATCTGGGATATGATTTCATGTATCATATGGAATCATCTGGTTGAAATAAGCATAAGCATCAGCATAGCAGTGGTGAGAGAAACCATGTGCCTGTATGATGCGTCCCAGTGATGTGGTGTAAATGGAGAAGAGGAGCGGTCCAAGCACCGAGCCCTGGGGAACCCCTGTGGTCAGTCGATGTGCTTTGGATACCTCACCTCTCCATGTGACCCTGAAGGACCTACCTGTGGGAAACCAGTGGAGAGGAGGACGTGTGATGCCCAGTGATGAGAGGATGGACAGAAGGATCTAGCGATTTCTGGACAAAAAAAGGCTAACGATTGCGTCACAACGAATCGAATCTCCGTCGCACGGTTGAGAAATTACCGTACAGACAGGATGAGAAGCTCACGGGCAATCAGGGGGACGTGGAGGCATAAAGTCTGATAAAGTCGAGGGAGAAGCCCTCGTAAAGCTGATCCTGCTGCTGTCCATGGACATCTTATGCTACGTTCACACCGGACACGAATAGCGCGTCAAATTCGTGTCTAGTTTAACGCTTGACCACTTTGTGTTAATTCGCGCGTCAAGAGCGAAACTGACGCGGGTAAAATAAAAAGTTTGAAGCGAAATTTACGCGCGTCAAAACCGAAACCCGTTGACGGCCATCTTTGTTTATGTTGATCGCGCATTCATCAAGAGATTCATTCATCACCGCAACTTATGCACATAATGTTGATTGTCTTTACATCATAATACTATTTCATATAATCTAGATATGGAATGAATAACACTCAATACAAAATGAACATGTGTCGTGTATAGAAATAAATTTTTAAGTGATAAAATATTTGCTTTGTTGTGCATAAACCCAGCATGCATTTAGTCATATTAGTAAATAATTTATTGAAGCATCCAGACACTTCACCACGTGAGCAAGCAGCTAGGCTCCTGATTGGTTAACGTTCACATTTTTCAACTCGGGCGGCAGACGCGAATTCGCGTCAAACGCGTGAATGCACAGATGGCACTAACTAAATCAATCGCGCATAACACGCTTAACGCGCCAGACGGTCAATTCGCGCGAACTTGACACGCGAGTGAGGCGTTTTCGCGTCTTCCGCGCTCCACGCCTCACGCCGCAGGAATTTTTTACGCACGTAACGCATCTTTGCATTGACTTAACATAGAAATCATTCACGCCTGATGCGCTATTAGACTCACGCTCTCCGTCTCTGTGAGATTATTCAGATTTCACTCGACACAGCTACTAGAAGACATACAGGTTGCTCACGTGAGCGGGAATGTGTCTCCCTCGTCCAATCGGCCAAAACACATCCGAATACCAGGAGTAAACAGGGACAAACACACACACAATATACAGGACACACAAAGGCACACGAGCACCAGGAGATACGAAATACCGCAAAACTTACAGTTTCGTTCAGGCACGGATGATGGAGCCTTCCCCGCCTCTGACATCATGATCAGCTGACCCTAAACGTGCGGGAGTGAGAACGGGAGAGAGCGAAGCATCCGTCAGACTGGGCTAAACCACTGTGAACAGTGTTTCCAAACACACGTCGGGACGAACGGAGCCACAGTGTTCTCACTCTACAGATGAAGTCACCTATGAAGGGCTAACACTAACGCAGACAGAGGAAACACGCGACAGCTTTAGAGTAGCGCTGTTACCTCCGTGCTGGGAGGATGAGGCTCATCCGCCGCCTCTGGGAGTTTCTCAGTATCAGCAGACTCCGGCTCAACACACACTGTGTGCTCTGAGAGAGAGAGAGAGAGAGACTTTTGACTTTTAAAACTCTTTTAATCAAACAACTAGTTAAAAGGCATTTTTTCACCACACAGACAAGACAAAAAATAATAATACAAAAAATAATAAAAAATAAAATAAAATATATATAGAATAAAATAAAATACATCAAAATAATAATATAAATGAAAACTCTACCAATTAAACCATAACTCTCCAAACACATTTCTCACCACAAGAGCATTTTTCACACTCCACCTTGCATCAAAAAAATCCATATTATTTGTTAATTTATAATAGGCATATTCCACCGCAACCCGATACTTTACCAATGATTTAAACATTCCAACCAGTTCAGTATTTCCCAAAGAGAGAGTGTGAGAAAAGAGAGAGAGATAGAGAGAGAGAGAGATGCTAAGGCCGTGTGTCCACCAAAGCGTTTTTCCACGCGCCTGGCGTATGTTTTCAATTGTTTTCAATGAGAGCGCCGCGTTTTTTAAACGCCATGAGCGTACCGAGGCGCTGAGCGTTTTTTTTCACGCTGAAGCGCCGAGCGCCTGGCGTTTTTACTGGTCGCTGGGAGTTGAAAAATGTTCAACTTTGGATAAAACGCAGCGCTCATCACTGTCACTTTTTACCCAGCCGTCCAATCACAGTGGAGGAGGGGCGGGGCTAAACCACACCGACCAACTGTCACAACATTCAAACTGCTGCGGATATTCTGTATCATAGCAACGAAACGTCCCAACGGAAAAAAAACGCTGCGCTGCCAAAACGCTCTCAAGCGCCCAAAGCACGGCGTCTTCAGCAGAGCGTCTAGCGTTTTCAGCTGGATAAAAACGCTTTGGTGGACACACCGCCTAATGCTATTTTTTTTTTGGTTGACAAGATTTCAAAGTGAGATAAAGACATTGTTCACACATCTGCAGTACGCTAATCATGGATGTCTAAATCTGGGTTCATTCACAGATTCCTAAAGAACTACAAATCTCACACCACACACACACACACACACACAGGCAGTGATAGACACAAACACACACAGATACAACTAAAGATCTACAAATCTCAAATCACACACACACAGACAAGACAGACACACACACACACACACACACACAGGCAGTGATAGACAGACAGAGACACACACACACACACAAACCCGCCTCTCCTCACTCGATTAACTTGCTCTGGATGAATATTGTTGTGGTCTTGAATTTCGGCGTGGGATTTGGCGTAATTTTCTAATTATGGCACATAAAGCCCCTCAGTTCTAAATGATTAGTATTTTTTGCTGCTTAAACAGTGAAAAACACACAGAATAATGTCAATGTGTGTGTCTGTCTCGGTGAGTATTCATGAACACACAGTCAGTTCTGTTTTAAGTGAATGTCAACAGTTCAGAAAGAAACGTGTGTATCAGTATAATGGATCCGTGTGTCAGCTCACAGCAGGCCATTATGAGGAAATATTATATATATACATACATATACTGTATATATAATATATATATATATATATATATATTAGGGGTGGAGCCGAATCCGAATACGGTATTCGGAAAGGCACAAATAATGTGTTTTTTACGAATACTTATTCCGAACAAATACTTAAAAAAATATTTGTATTCGGGAAGAAGAAATACTTTATATCAAAAAGCTGCGTTTCTCACGAGACCGCAGTGCGCGAGTTGAGTGAGTGACGTTCAGGAAGAACTGACACCGGCTGCTCCACACAGCAACAGAGAGGGCTCGGCTGAGCGAAAAAACACTTAACTGCATCACTATTTTTGTTGAATAGATGTTTGTACCTTAACTAGGTGCCGGAGGCAGTTTATAACTTTTGGGAAGCGGAGTTTGATCGGGAGTATATTCCATTATTGACGTCTGCAGACGGGTGCTCTCCTGTTCGCTCTGTTTACGTAGCTCTGTTAGCTCGGTAAAGGTAATTATTTGTTTCTTATATGACTTGTTGAATTCTAATGTAGAATGCGGTCTGTTATCATAACAGGCCGCTGCTAATAAGTAGAACACACCGTTGCCATGAAAAACAGAGCGTTGCCATGGATTCTAAACGTAGAGACAGAACAGAACTATTTTTATTTTTTTAGCGGAAGCGATACAATCGTTTTTTAAATCAATAAACTCCTTTTTATATCCATATTGTCAAGAGTCAAATTATTGATTTATTTGGTAGCCATGTAATAAGTGGGGTAATGTAGAAGCGAGGCGGTTGTTAGCGAATGCAAACCCTTCAGGCTTCGCGTCAGGCTCATAATCAACCTCCTCGCTATCCCTAACTTATTCCGTCTGTTCAGCGTCCTCCACCGTTGGTGTTGGGGTTCATAATGTTAACAATTTTATTTCTTTAGTTGTTGGTTTAACCATGGTTCATGAGGTAATGGCTGACTGTTATTTTCTTTTCAATGACTTTTCTTGTTACATGTTCATTGCTGGATTTATAGAAAAACATCAACCAATATTGCATATCCATAATTATTATAATGGGTATAATTAAAGAATCCATACACTATAAAGTAAATTAAAGATTTTTATGCCTATTTTGAATTTTACTCGAATACAAATACAAATACTTTTCCCCCCTGAACAAATACAAATACAGATACAAATACCGGCTGCTTTGCACACCCCTAATATATATATATATATATATATATATATATGAAGAGTTCAGATGCAAAAGCCTCTAAGTGCCATTTGTAATTTTCTTCTAAAATGATCATTTTTATCAAGCTTGTATATTTAAGTTCAGTGATTTCACTTAAATGGTAATGATAATTACCTATTAGTTGTTATTTAAGTGAAATTACTGAACTTAAATATACAAGTTTGATAAAAATCATCATTCAAGAAGAAAATTTTAAATGGCACTTAGAGGCTTTTGCATCTGAACTCTTCATATATATAAAAATAATATTTAACATATATTTAAATATCATTATTATATATATATATATAGTGGATAGTAACTTTGGAAAAAGTTCATCAAGACTTGTGAGGGACAATTTGTTCAGTTTTTACTTGGCAACCAAAAATATCCATAAAAAAAAGTCTTAATTTGAACACAAACACCTTCCACACACACTTCCTCAGCATCTCACACAGTGTGTCTGAGTAAAGTTATTCAGATTAGACTGTGTGTCTCGGTCTCATGTTGACAGTCCACACCTGACACACTGATCTGGTCCTGAAGCCCTAAACCCTTACGCCTCCCAACGCTACACTGTCATCCACATCCTCTAAACTTAATAAAGCCAGTCCGTGAGCTAAACGTGTGTTTATCTTTTGTTTTTGCTCTACACTTCGCTCTGAGCAGGGCTGTGTTACTACTGTGCAGATTCCACTTCCTGTCAATCTAATTCCACTTCCTGTGGGCTGTGGCCAATCCTAAAGCTCGTTCTTCAGCCTCGATGAGTGGATATTAACAGAGCTTATTAAAGTCACCAGTTCTGCTCCTCTTTCATTAATGATGATCATTTTCACACTTCTCCAACTTATTAGCAACTAAGAAACTGAATCTTGAATCTGATGTACAGAAAACACTTTATAAAAAAGATATATATTTAGGACAAATATATAGGACAAAAATGGGCAACACTTTACAATATGGTCCATTACAGCATTTATTAATCTTAGTTAATATTAATTTCACCACTCACTAATACTTTATTAAAATCAAAGGTTGTATTAGTTAACATATAAACTGTGAACTAACATCAACAATGAGCCGCTGTAGCTTTATTNAATGTTCCCAAGTGTGTTTTGTTTACCCGTTACCCGCTGTGTCTATAAACCCCAGTGTTTCCTGTGTTCTCTGTTTCGTTGGTGTCCTCAGTTCTGCTCCTTGTGCTTGCATTGTTGTTGTTTGCTTCAGTAAAATTGGAAATTGGACCTGAAACTAATGATCCAACAGAAAGAAAGAAACTTTAGACTGTGATTGAGAAAGTGGCGCTGTATTTTTTAGGTATGTTTTGTGTTGAGACAGATGAAATCGAGTCGGTGTCGGTGATAGAGGGCGATTCTCTCAACCTACAGACGGGTGTGAATAAAATACAAGAGGACGATCTGATCATGTGGCTGTGCGGAGACTTTTGCATCGCTAAACTCAACATATCCTCCCAAGTCATCTCTGAAAATAATGAAAGATTCGGCCGACAGACTGAAGCTGGATCATCAGACTGGATCTCTGACCATCACAAACATCAGAACCACAGACTCTGGGCTTATAAAGCACAGATGATCGGACATAAAGTTTCAAAGAAAACATTCAATGTTACTGTCATTGGTGAGTAGGCCTACTTATAGGTTGAGGTTGTTTAAAAATGATTGACAAACTCTTTATTCATATTTCTTTAATGTTTTCCAGCTCGTCTTCCCATTCCTGTGATCGCTAGTTACTGTCCTCAAAATCCTTCATCATCATCAGAATCATCGTATCCAAATGTCTGCTATTGTGTTCAGTGGTGAATGTGAGTCATGTGACTCTGTCCTGGTACGCAGGAATGAGTGTATTGTCCAGCATCAGTGCGTCTGATCTCAGCATCAGTCTCTCTCTACTCTGGAGGTGGAATATCAGGATAAAACACTTACAGCTGTGTGCTGAACAATCCCATCAGCAACCAGACCACACATCTGGACATCAACACACTCTGTCACACATGTGCAGGTAGCAATAAACCATCACACCAGCAGCATATTGTCAAATAATTGTATATATTGATGTGTTCTGTTCTTTTCCCCCTTCAGAATCTGTCTGCTGTTGTGATTCTAATAAAGCTCTGATCCAATTGGTCCTCTCTGCTCTGGTGGGCGTGGCTACTGTTGCTGTTCTGGTTTATGACGTCATATCCGGAAGAGCTGAACAGAAACGAAGAGGTCAGAAATCAATCTCAAACTGAATTAGATAACTATAACATTTTATTATTCACTTTTACAAAATATGGCATGCCACTCATAAGACTTACGCAGTTATATTTTTTACTTAACGTCCGTTTCTGCCACAAATGTGTCTGTTCTTTCATCTACGCTGCGCTTACTAAAACATCTTTTTGTGTTTTGTGGTCTGGTAATGTAGGTAGCAGACCTGTTTATGTGGCCTGTCAGCATGTAAGTGTTGGCAGGAAGTGTTTAGTTTTGCAAACCTGTGACTTCTGAAGAACTTGCCCTTTAGTGTCAGGACAGTGTTGTTGCCCACAGTGTTCAGAACGTTTTCTCAGTTGAGCTTCGATGTGTTAAACTTTTGAACTTTTGCTGCACACACCTTGGTTTGAGTCTGGGTGTTTGATCCTCACTGGTACACAGGCCCCACATACTTTTTAATAATGTTTTTTTAATTAATGCCTCAGGGGCTCTGGGAATTATTTTTTATTTTTATTTTTTGCAAAAACACCAAAACATGAATTTGCTACGGATCATTAAGTTTACCTCAAATTCACAACAAGCATTTCAATGAGCAAAGCTTTCAGTGACGATGGCTCAATCAAGCCATAAACGAAACGACGCCAAATTACAAGAGATATTCAAGCATTTTTTGTGACAGTTAACAAGCTAATGTTATGGATCAAATCAGTGCCAAGTTATATCTGGAAAACGGGATGTCCTCATTCAGCTAAATGATACAAACTCACAACTCCTCATCACAGGGATAAGTGTTCACCCCTCAGACCTGAATTATGTTTCAAGTTTCTGAAAAATATAAAAGTACATTTTCCCAGCTCATGAGGTTTCTATAAATGAAAACAAATAAAAAACATTTATATACTTGCTTTCATTGTGATTTTTTTTGTCCATTCCAATGGACATCAGGTCAAAACAGGTGTACTTCCCAAAAACGTACCAAAATGAAATAAATTAATAAAGATAAAATTTGTTGTTCTATACTTTAATGATGAAAACCATTTATCTGCACTCTGCTGGGGCCCCTGAGTCCGTGGCACCAACCGCCATCCCATAATTCCACTGTCCACAAACCCACTATTTCTCCAATAACGCACTATTTTTTAAAAGTACTAACCCCGGCCTACATGCAATAAGCTGCAAGTGGACAAAATCCCACCTGCAATCTATTGAGTGGAGAATATCTGAAAAGAAATGAAAAGATTGCAAAAATGGAGGCTCTAGACCCTTCCAGAGCTGAGATATGGAAACTCAAAATTTCGACCCGAAAAAAAAAACGACAGTGTTACCCCTTACGTTTTTTTTTTTGGGCGAAAAATCAAGTATCCCCAATCTTCTCGAAACTCTGGATTCAGATAGAGGGCACTGAGACTTGCACCTGAGCGCAAAAATGGAGGCTCTAGACCCTTCCAGAGCTGAGATATGGAAACTCAAAATTTCGACCCGAAAAAAAAACGACAGTGTTACCCCTTACGTTTTTTTTTTGGGCGAAAAATCAAGTATCCCCAATCTTCTCGAAACTCTGGATTCTGATAGAGGGCACTGAGACTTGCACCTGAGCGCAAAAATGGAGGCTCTAGACCCTTCCAGAGCTGAGATATGGAAACTCAAAATTTCGACCCGAAAAAAAAACGACAGTGTTACCCCTTACGTTTTTTTTTTGGGCGAAAAATCAAGTATCCCCAATCTTCTCGAAACTCTGGATTCTGATAGAGGGCACTGAGACTTGCACCTGAGCGCAAAAATGGAGGCTCTAGACCCTTCCAGAGCTGAGATATGGAAACTCAAAATTTCGACCCGAAAAAAAAACGACAGTGTTACCCCTTACGTTTTTTTTTTTGGGCGAAAAATCAAGTATCCCCAATCTTCTCGAAACTCTGGATTCTGATAGAGGGCACTGAGACTTGCACCTGAGCGCAAAAATGGAGGCTCTAGACCCTTCCAGAGCTGAGATATGGAAACTCAAAATTTCGACCCGAAAAAAAAACGACAGTGTTACCCCTTACGTTTTTTTTTTTTGGGCGAAAAATCAAGTATCCCCAATCTTCTCGAAACTCTGGATTCTGATAGAGGGCACTGAGACTTGCACCTGAGCGCAAAAATGGAGGCTCTAGACCCTTCCAGAGCTGAGATATGGAAACTCAAAATTTCGACCCGAAAAAAAAACGACAGTGTTACCCCTTACGTTTTTTTTTTTGGGCGAAAAATCAAGTATCCCCAATCTTCTCGAAACTCTGGATTCTGATAGAGGGCACTGAGACTTGCACCTGAGCGCAAAAATGGAGGCTCTAGACCCTTCCAGAGCTGAGATATGGAAACTCAAAATTTCGACCCGAAAAAAAAACGACAGTGTTACCCCTTACGTTTTTTTTTTTGGGCGAAAAATCAAGTATCCCCAATCTTCTCGAAACTCTGGATTCTGATAGAGGGCACTGAGACTTGCACCTGAGCGCAAAAATGGAGGCTCTAGACCCTTCCAGAGCTGAGATATGGAAACTCAAAATTTCGACCCGAAAAAAAAACGACAGTGTTACCCCTTACGTTTTTTTTTTTTGGGCGAAAAATCAAGTATCCCCAATCTTCTCGAAACTCTGGATTCTGATAGAGGGCACTGAGACTTGCACCTGAGCGCAAAAATGGAGGCTCTAGACCCTTCCAGAGCTGAGATATGGAAACTCAAAATTTCGACCCGAAAAAAAAACGACAGTGTTACCCCTTACGTTTTTTTTTTTGGGGCGAAAAATCAAGTATCCCCAATCTTCTCGAAACTCTGGATTCTGATAGAGGGCACTGAGACTTGCACCTGAGCGCAAAAATGGAGGCTCTAGACCCTTCCAGAGCTGAGATATGGAAACTCAAAATTTCGACCCGAAAAAAAAACGACAGTGTTACCCCTTACGTTTTTTTTTTTTGGGCGAAAAATCAAGTATCCCCAATCTTCTCGAAACTCTGGATTCTGATAGAGGGCACTGAGACTTGCACCTGAGCGCAAAAATGGAGGCTCTAGACCCTTCCAGAGCTGAGATATGGAAACTCAAAATTTCGACCCGAAAAAAAAACGACAGTGTTACCCCTTACGTTTTTTTTTTTTGGGCGAAAAATCAAGTATCCCCAATCTTCTCGAAACTCTGGATTCTGATAGAGGGCACTGAGACTTGCACCTGAGCGCAAAAATGGAGGCTCTAGACCCTTCCAGAGCTGAGATATGGAAACTCAAAATTTCGACCCGAAAAAAAAACGACAGTGTTACCCCTTACGTTTTTTTTTTTGGGCGAAAAATCAAGTATCCCCAATCTTCTCGAAACTCTGGATTCTGATAGAGGGCACTGAGACTTGCACCTGAGCGCAAAAATGGAGGCTCTAGACCCTTCCAGAGCTGAGATATGGAAACTCAAAATTTCGACCCGAAAAAAAAACGACAGTGTTACCCCTTACGTTTTTTTTTTTGGGCGAAAAATCAAGTATCCCCAATCTTCTCGAAACTCTGGATTCTGATAGAGGGCACTGAGACTTGCACCTGAGCGCAAAAATGGAGGCTCTAGACCCTTCCAGAGCTGAGATATGGAAACTCAAAATTTCGACCCGAAAAAAAAACGACAGTGTTACCCCTTACGTTTTTTTTTTTGGGCGAAAAATCAAGTATCCCCAATCTTCTCGAAACTCTGGATTCTGATAGAGGGCACTGAGACTTGCACCTGAGCGCAAAAATGGAGGCTCTAGACCCTTCCAGAGCTGAGATATGGAAACTCAAAATTTCGACCCGAAAAAAAAACGACAGTGTTACCCCTTACGTTTTTTTTTTTGGGCGAAAAATCAAGTATCCCCAATCTTCTCGAAACTCTGGATTCTGATAGAGGGCACTGAGACTTGCACCTGAGCGCAAAAATGGAGGCTCTAGACCCTTCCAGAGCTGAGATATGGAAACTCAAAATTTCGACCCGAAAAAAAAACGACAGTGTT